TTTTCTTATTTCCCTCGGGAGTCTCCAAAAATTGACATGCACCGCTATCATCATATTACATTATTGGATAACTATTCGTTCCACTTTTTAAATAATGGTTTGCATGACATTAAACTAAGAAATAAGGAAAAATAAAATTTCTACACGTCACATATTCTATAATTTGTGGCAAGTAATATTGATAGGATAGATCATTCATGTGAAAAATTTATCAACCTTTTTCATGAACGCCTTGTGGTTTTCGCGTCCGTCACAAATTCTAATACTTTTTGTCATGTCCATATGGTGATTTGAGCTGTTAGACAAACCTTGCTGCTCTTGAATTATGTTTGTCTCGTTAAAACTTAAACTCCAATTACTCATTTGATAAATAAATTAATATTAAGCTCATTTAAACCACTACAAGAAAATAATAAAATTCGAATGAAAAATATATTTCAATAGAATTCCAACGACAATTTCGATAGATATTTCAATGTTATTATTATTTTTAGATTCCAATGAAAATTCCAACGAGAATAATCCATTATTATTTTTAGATTCCAATGAAAATTTCAATAGAATTTGACAATTGTGACGGTTGAAATATGAGTGGAAATAAAAAATTCAAACAGAAATTGCATATTCCAATGGAAAATCCTACGGTAATAATCCATTGAAAAAATGGTCGTTGGAACTAGGCTGCAAACGAGCTGAGTCGAGCACTGACCTTATCAAAATCAAAATGCTCGAGCACGGCTCGAGTGCAGCTCAAAAATTTTTAAGTGAAAAGGTAAAATTACTATTAAGCACCTTAGAGATATATAAGGGGTATTTTAGTAATTTAACATGTTTCTCGAGCCGCTCGACAACGTAAAATATGGGCTCGAGCTCGAGTCGAGCTTTGACTCAAGCGCTCGCGAGCCACTCGGCTAGTTTGTAGCCCTAGTTAGAACCATCAACTACAACTAGAATTCAAATGAAAAAATTATTTCAATGAGAAAAAACTGGGTTTAGGGAGCTCAATATCACTTATGATGGGTCCTCTGACCCGTCCTGAAATATGAGGAGCTTTGAGAACATGAACATTTTACATGGCTATATGGATGAGGTGCAAGGAAATTTTGGCGACCTCGAGGGAAGAAGCTCAAGGTTGGTTCCACCAGCTCGCCCCACGGTTGGTCAAGGATTTTGAAGATTTTGCCACTATTGTTCTCAACCAGTTTGCTAGCGTTAGGTCGTATGGAGAAGACCTATTCGACCCTAATGGCGATGCAACAACAGGAGAATGAGACTTTTAGGAGTTATGTGGGTCAATATACTTGTGCGTGTGGTACAATACCCTCAGCCTATGAGGAGGTCAAGGCTGGAAGACTAACGAGAGTGTTCCGAGAAGGACCGTGCCAAATCTCATTGGCTAAGAAGTTGGGGTTAACCTATGATGACGTCCTAATGAGGTGTGCTACGTATATTAACATGAAGGAGGCCACGATTGAATTTTCCAAAACTGAAAAAACAGTTCAACCAGAAGTAAAGGAGAGAGGAAGCTCGCTTAGAATGGAAAGGTCGGACGGAAAAAAGATAAGATAGGCGAAGAGGTCGGCTGATGCGCAGTGGTCATAGGTACGAGAAGATAAGAACCACAAGTGGATAAGACCACGTGGCCTAACATAATCGGGAAGTTTGGGCACCCGGGCAGTATGAACGGGTAGCTCGGACACTTTGGCAGTCTAGCTGGGCAGCCTTGGGCAATAAGGCAAAACCACTATATAAAAAGGTAAGGCATGAGAAATCTCTCACACTTTATTATATTTACAAGCTATATGCAATTCTTGTTCTTTATCATTTTATTCACATACTCATTTGATCGTCGGAGTCTCTATGCCGGGATCCGTCCCGACGCTGTTTTGCAGGTCTTTGAATCGGTCGCGAGGGGATTCAAGGTCTTTCAAACTGGTTGAGGTGGTTTACGTACCAAATAGCATCATGGAAAATTAATCTTCCTAAAGCACGATATAAGTTATCTATTTCATGTGCTACATCGTAAAACGAAGCTAGAGAAGATAAA